TCTTTTACATACCCCAACAGGCTCAGCAAACTATTTAGTCAGTTTGAGATTGAGAAGAAAATGCTGTTACATCTTCATTTCCCAAATGCAGCTGATGGTGAATCACTTGTGCCTAGTAAATGGTCTGTCAGGTCAGCAAAATGAACCCCTTTCTTATTTTTGGGCACATATATCTAAAAGACACTTATTCTTTGGATTAAAAATGTGAATGTACTTTGCTATGGTAAAAAAATATATGAGACACTAACTGGAATTTTTTAACTCCTTACACTTTATTAATGTTTTTTGTGTCTGCTTTCATAATACTCTTAGAGTGTTCTGTTTTGATTTATTTAATTGGTCTTTTTGAATGAATGGCATAGAGTTTTTAAAAGCCCAAACACTAAAAAAAAATAATTTAAGGTAAATTGTTAATTTTTTATAGATATGCATCTTTCTTAGACAACTTCTTTTTAAGCTTTTGCAGTTATGTAGTATCATGACTCTAAATTAATTCAAATACATATTTAGTATTTGAACTTTTTGCAAATGAACAAGGCTGTTGTTGTCCTGTTTCCAGCAGAGTACAGATCTATGCAGATGTAAAGCAGTTTGTAGACAGATGTGGGTAATTATATAGTTGTTTGCAGTGATCCAGTACAGCACAGTGAAAACGTCTCTTTGGCCATGTGACTGAGCACATGGGTACAGATTTAAGACAATAAGGAATAAACTTTTTGCATACCAGAAATAAAACTGGGGCACAGCACTGAGCACATCTTCCTTGCATTTAATTTTTCCATTTTTGTTAGTCAGAGTTGTGCCTTTTTAAGAGGAGGTCCATTGTTTTTCTAAGCAATAAAACTAAGAAAAGAAGTTCCTTATATTGTGATCTGGTGAATGCAATTATTATAGTCCCAAACTTCATAAAAGTGCTCTCTACCAATAATATACAAAATAATGATAAATAATGAATTTGATCAATAATTAATTTGAACTTTAAACACAAGTGATGAACCCTAACATTTAGGGTGAGGTTTCAGAATATTACTCTAAAAGCAGCTACAAAATTATAGACAGAGCCATCACATTAGCTCCCAAATTTTGCAGAATGTAAAGAAACACGGAGACCATCTGTTCAGTATGTTGCAAACCATTTTGCAGGATTTAATGTTTGGAAAATTAAATTAACTAAGAGATATAAAAAGTGCCAGTGGCTGGAAGTTTACCCTTCAAAATCAGAGTTGAAACACACTTTTTAAGATTAAGGTTATAGCATTCTATTTATGGGACTTTGATTCACTACCAGCAATGGTGTACTTTCTGTGAATCACTTCAAATTAAGAAATGATGACTTTGTAATAATGTGGTTTAAGTAAATCAGAATTTGGGACCTCATGCAGAACACAGATGAAGAACATTCCTGTGCAAGCCAGAATGGGTTCAGTGGGTATAATTGTCCCTTTTGGCATTTAAATCTGTAACTCTGAGCCTGTAAGTAATGTCATGACATACAAATAAGCAAGTCCAGGCCCTCATACTGAAAAAGAACATGGGTTCCTCTTAACAGAGTGGCTCTGGGAGTTCTTTGGTGGCCTGGTATGAAAAACTTACTTTAGATCTGTATTTGAGTTTTAATCTATATTTCTTTGGTTTTTAGTGTTATCAAGACGCTATATCCCCAAAGGTTTATAGCCATAGAATAAACATTTGTCAAAAAAGGAAAACTTTGGTGACACTGGAGAAAATTTTGTCATATCATATATCATTTAGTCCAGAAGGTTGCTATTATTTTAATATTTTGTTGTTTTCATATTAGATTATACTAGACACTGAACACCTAAAATGCTCGAAACCTCAAACTCATATGTGCAGAGTCTGTCTCACCATTTTTTTAGACCATTTGATGAACAGGATATTATTAGCTTTTTATTTTAAACGGTGGTTAAAAATCTATAGTTTGAAGAAAGGCATGGTGACCAACTGTTGGAGAATGAGTTCTAGTGTGTGAATAAAGTGTGGATCACTCTAATGGAGCATAAACTTCCAGTACTTTATGCTGTTTCAAATAACAAGTGATTTCAGACTCTAATTCTTCAGGATTACACATTTTTCTCACTATACACACAGTATATTTAGATTATCACTGGATGCCCTTCATTGAACAATGCCCACAGTTACTTACATAATTAATGTTGCTGACTTATGAGTCTGTGACTAGATGGGCGTAGAAAAGGGAAAGAACCATGTCTTGGGGATGGTTTATTAGCCCATATAATTTTTGGGGCTTTTTATCTGTTTGTTCATGCCCAGAGTTCCCGCCCCAGCCTGCATCCTCTTCTTATCATAGTTTGGGAGCCAAGCTGGGGTTTGGGAGTTTGGGGCAGGGTGAGAGACAGCCCTTCCTTTCAGCAAGTTCCATTCAATACACGCTGCCAGTATCTCTGACCAGGCATCCATCCTGTTGTTTCTGTGCATTTTGCCTGCTTCTTTTGGGGTTTTTTGCTTCAGCGTTGTGACTGAGCTTGCCAACTTGGCTTCTTCTGCTGCTCTGCAGTTGGGAAGCCCAGAGCCAGTGTGCACCCGCCAGGCCCGGGAACATCCTCTTTTCCAAAAGTTTCCAGGCGCTGCCCCCACCCTCCACACAGCCAGAACCCAGAGACCAGCCAGCAGTGGTGAGAAATCCCAGGGAGTCTCTCTCTGCTGTGTTTGGGATCCAGGCTGCCTCTGCCCAGTCCCACCATGCCTCGACAGCTGCTCCAGGGTTTGTGCTACTCTGGAGCTGTTTGGGAGGTCCCACGGTCCAGCTACAGCTGTAGAGCTTCTGCTGCCTCTTGCTTGCTGGCCCAGGTGAGCCTGCCATGCCATTCCTGCTTGCTGCTCCTGAGGTTTCCTGCTACAGCTCCTTTCACTCTCCCGAGGGGGCACCAGGATCAGTTGCCCAGTGTGTTCATAAAGGAAAGCCCTTCTCCATCCAGCCCGCCATTACCGTGTGGAGAAAGGCTCATGGCACAGCGCCCCCTGCAGGCTTGGAGGAATCATCGCACCCCTGCCCGGCCAGGAGCCAGTAGCGCCCCTGCCGGCCGTGCCCGGAGCTGCATCGAGGGAAAGCACCTGTGGCCAGGAGAAGGCTGGGACTGGGTGTCTGGGGATTTTGAGATTAACAATCTCAATATCCAGCATTTATTCAATTTTAGTTTCTTTTAATAAACAGGGGTTTTTTTCACTTTCACCCCCTGCTATCTAGTTCTCTCATTGACGGAAGAAAAGGGAGTTATTGAAGCTCTTCTCTCCTTAGAGAAAATGCTTTTTCAGGGCTTTTTCTCCTGAAATTTGTCTTGAAACTGAGACAAACCGAAATCATAAAATGCAGATTATGTGGTAAAGAGAGCCTGAAAAATATTTTTGTTCCTTAAATATCTAATTTTTAATCATAGTTTTTAAAATACTATTTTAAAAATAATTGAGGCCAAATAGATTTTTTCTATTGAAGATAAATTGGACTTCTGACCTTTACAAAAAATTGAAGTGGCTTATTGATTAACTTGGACAGAGCTGTCCATTTTGATACATATGGAATTATGAAGAGTTTAAAAAATGAGAAAGTACATCACCAAACAACTGAAAGCAGAAAGATTTCAGACATTAAGATTATCTTGAATAAAAATTATTTGATATTCTATGGCCATCAGAATAATTTAATAAACACCTCACAGTGCTCATCTAAGTAAGGAACATTTCCAGCAAAATGTAAGAGATGTACGGGTGATTCAGACACTTTTTTCTCTCTTACTGTCACCTTTGGAAGACTCCTTCCAGCCATTGAGAGAGAAACTGAGACAATTCCATCCATTTTTCCCCCGTGTCATCTAACCAGTATTTATCCTTACCCATGTCTGAAATATCTGCGATTCCTTCCAGAAGTAATTCGCAGGTGCAAACTTGCCTTTTAAAACCTGCACTAACTATGATTGTTGCATTAATGGAATCAGCAAGGCAAGAACAGTAAAGATCCTGGAGCATACGGTGCTGCCTGTGCTGTGCCTTGTACTGCACAGTCCATGTGACATTCAGCAGCCACGGGCAAGGTCTTTTCCAGAATAACACTGAATTTTTGCAGAGCAAAACTAACATCTCTGTCTTTGGGGCACACCAGGCAATCATTAGCACTTTTCTGACAGACACTCTGTACTAGATTTTGTGATTAACATATTCTGAGCATTTCATTTCAAGAACAAGTCAAACGTTATGGCACGCTACATATTAAAGGAAAGAACTCACTCCAAGCTCTGCCTGCAATGCTGCTAAATAGCAGTAATGATCATTAGTATCCATGTAGTAGGATAGGTTTACATGGTGTTTTGTAACTATGAAAATAAGATTTCAGAGTGGTAATTGGGGAAATATATACTCTCTAGGGAAATCCTCTGATTATCTAAAAACAAACTTGGTTTGTTTAAATCCTTCTTGCATGACCACAAAAGTTTCTTGTTTCCTTGGAACTGAAATTAAAAAAATTAAACATGTGCACATCATGTTGAAATCTTCAAAACATGAGATACTTCTTATTATCTAGAAGGCATGATTAGTTATTCTAGATACCTTACATTAGTTATTAGCCCTAAAGACATTCCAGAAGGGTGAGGTTTACGTTCCTCCATTGGACTACAGCATATAAGCACATAAAATATATTATAAGCATAATAAAAGCAAAACTTTTCCCAATATTTATCAGTATTTCTGCTGAGCTACTAAGAATATAGCACCTCTCCATTGTGGGTGTTATTGTTTATTTCTGCAATATTCTTTCTATGTATGCCTTTGTACACAGCTGCTCTTTGGAGAGAAACAACAGTTGAAGTGTGATCAGAAATTGCATATGTTATTCCAGAGCCATATAATCCAGCTGTAGTCTTTTTCCCACATTCATCTTGTTAGTTTCTTACCCCTCCCAAGTATGCCAGGAATCTTTTGGTCTTGTCAGGCCATTATACTGCATATTCTGCTCCCAAACTGTGAGATGCAAGCAGTGAGCGCCAGTACAAAATGCACCTATACAGCACAAGTTAATTTTGGGTATTTTTCCCATTTTTTATGTTTCACTACACTTCAAAACAGATCTGCTTCACCAAAATTTTTATTTTGTACACTGCTTTACATACAAGTTATTTCAATGCACCTTTCCCATTTTCAACACCAGGTCTGAAATTATTTCACAGAGTGGGTGTTCTTTCTGGATGAGCCACATAAAAGCAAAAAGAACAGTTGAGATGGTAACTCTGACCTTGAAGCCCCATCTAAGCATCCTGTCCTGCAGAACATTCTATTACCACCTCAGCACAAACCTCCAGGACAGGTACAGGAAACACAAGTATATTTTGATTAGCATATTTCCTCTTAGTTTCGTGGTAAAGGTTTGGCAACTTTTCCCTCATATCCTTGTCTTTAGTTCCATCGTATTGAATGAAGAGCAAATATACAGCTGTTGCCATGGAGCATGTTATATGTTCACAGCCCAGCTTAGCACATTCCTTGTTCTGCTTATACCATGAATACTGAATGTTCATTTAAACACTGAAAAGACACTGACAAATGACTTCACAATGCATCTCAGTATTTAAAAAACATCCATTTAATGACTAATAAACTATTTTTAACCTCATGAGCAGCTGAACTTGGTCTTCCAACCCGTCTTTCCTTTGTACATCTCAAAGAGTGGATGGCTCTTGCTGTATTACTGAAGGCCAACAAACCCTGATGGTACCAAGTCAAAGAAAGTTGGAAGTTCAAAGCTGCTCATGGGAAGCTCTCTTCCAGCTGCCTGGTGACTCTAAACTCAGATTAATTGAATCAATTCACACACAGACTTCCACAGATTGCACAGAACTCAGTTTTCCAAATGGAGATGCTTTTCTAAGTGGAAAAGAATTGATAAATAATTAGTAAATAATTAGTAAATATTTTAGGCAAAATGTATTACAGAATCATAGAATAATGTAGATTGGAAGGGACTTTTGGAGATCATCTGATCCAATTCCTTGCTTAAGGCAGCACCAACTTAATTAGGTTACTCAGGGTCTTGCTCAGTCAAGTTCTCAATATCTGTAAGGGTGGATATTCCACAGCCTCTCTGGACATCTGTCCCAGTATTTGACCACATGTATGGTTTGTGCTAGGCATGACAGCAGAAGATTATTATTGACTCACTAGAATCAGATTAATTAGCTATCCAATTCATAAGAGTCCTAGAAGTTAAAAGTCCTTTTTGTAAACTCATAAATCATTTGCACGTGGGATCTCAGTATTAAATGTGACTCAGAGTTTTGTTATACTAAAGTGGGAATTTAAGCTTCCATTCATGAAGTATCTGGAAAACAGTTTGGGTGTTGGAGCACCAATGTGCACTGGTCTCTGCACTAAACCTCATTTAATAACAAGCAGACAGCTGCAGCCTTCCCCAGCTCCAGTTTGTGACTGGCATAGTGCCACGGAAAGAGCATGCACTAGCCCAGTCCCAGTGAGACAAATGTAGGGTATAAATCTCAGAAAAACCTACATTTATAAAAATATAATTCTGTAATTGCCCTGTTCTACAGAGGGACATGGAACAAAGCCCTTTGCCACATCACTGCTGCAAATGCATCCAGGAGCAGCTGAGGTATTCACACAACCGCCAAGTTAGGAATCTGACTAACAAATACATGGAAAATTTCCTCAGTAATATATTCACTGCTTACATATTCAATACTGCTTCGAGCATAGGCATTTCTAAATGGTTCCTCAGCTTCATCAGAGCTCCAGTCTCACCCTGATGCTTGATGGGTCTATACCATTGTGAACAGAAGCAGAAGGTAGCTGCAGCATGGAGATGTGCACGTGCCTCCACAGGAACCCTTGGAGGGATCTGGCAGGCATTTGGAGCAGGATGGCAAGGTCTGTACCTTGAGAAACCCAAGTGTTGTTCCTTAGGACCTCCCTGAAAGGAGTCGTGGATTCCAGTCTAGAGCAACCCCTATAACTGGAAGTACTGCCTGGCTGGAAGTACTACCAACACTTGGCTGAAACCTCATCATCAAGAATCATGATGACCTGAAAGAACTCAGGACTCATCAATTAACAAATCCTTGGCTTGAGTGAATTACCAGGGCTGACAGAGGACTTGCTGAGATCAAGGAATCAAGGTGCCCATCTGTTGCCAAAGAGGGTAACCTGCAGTTGCCTCAGCAGCAGCAGCAGTGGCTGTGATGGCAGCTGCTGGGGATTGCTTTGCTAGAGGAGTTTCAGGGCAGTGTCTGTGCCGTGCAGTGTGGTGTGCTCAGCCTGACTCACTGCAGACACTGGGACAAGCCCAGATGTGGCAGTGCCTTTTACCCACCCTGGAAGCAAACAGGCTCCTCAGAGCCCAGCTGATTGCTCCAAAGCACACTTCTGTTAGATCAGTGGATATGCTTTCACACCCTGCATCTCCATGATTAGAGCACTGTGCCCATATTTTAAATGCAGATTTCTCATTAGCTGTGCTCTCAGATGGTTTAAGATGCATCTGTCTGATGAACATTGACCACTTTCATAACTGCCTTTACTGCTATGCATAAGATGGTTTGTTCCTTCCAAGCACCAGTAGAAAGTTGGTTTTACACTGGGCAGAATTCAAATCTCAAACACAAATTAAATCTGCAGTGAAAACCAATGCAATAATTGAGGCCAGAACTTGGCTTACTGACCCTGCTCATCTGAATGCTATTTCTGAGGGGATAATGATGTATTCTTCTTCCTTTTTGACAATTACTCCTTCACAGATAATTTTTGAAATTTTCTGTGCCATTTTTCTGTGATGTTGCTGTGGTATCCTGGATACTTAGTTGTAATATCCTGTGCTCCTGTCATGCCATTATAGTGGCCTAAAGCATGTTTCTTTATTCCTTTTTCTGCTCTACCTTTCTTTTTGGCTCTTTCCTGTATTCTGCCACCACATTAACTTCATTTGTGTAACCAAGAAAATGAAGAATTCTACTGAATTCTGAAAGAAACCTTTGTGTTTCATGAGTTTTCTTCTCTTATTATTCCACTACTTTACAAACTGCTACTTCAGCTTTTCACTCAAAGGATCACCCCTCAGCCTTTTGTATTGTACAAAGTCATCTATTTTTAGCCACTTCCCTTTAAAACCTATCCCTGCATGGTATTATTCACAAATTTGACTGTTACTACTTTTGCTATATGGATGTTCCAAACCAGTTGCCCCCTATTCTAGTCTGGACAAAAAATATAAAGTTGATATATAATTTATCTTTCTCATGTCACCTTACCCCTGTCCAATCACTCTTATAAGTCGGACAGGGTTCTGCATTTTTCCTCCCTTCTGTGTCAACAATGGGGAGAGATTACTGTCCTCCATCACATTCAGACCTGTCATCTGGGGATTATTTTTGATTTTCGTTTCTGTCAGGTATGTATTACTGTTGTCCTAGTTCTGGCCAGGACAGGGTTAATTTTTGTGGTAGCCAGGAGGGGCATGGCTAGTACCCTGATGTTGTTCTACACCACCTCACATCATTGCTAGGGGCACAGAAAGGGATTCTCTTCCAGGGATAAGGGGTTTCTTCCGGTTAAGAAAATGTGGTAAAGGGAGCTGTCCGGTATTGTTTACTTACAGGGAGTTTTTCTGTGTGAATTATTTATTTTCTTATTCCTCTTGTTGCTTTTACTGTAAATTTTTCTTATCTCACTGCTGTTTCCAGTAAATTGTTCATATCTCAATCCATGGTCTTTGCCTTTTGTGCCTCCAGTTGGAGGGGGAGGAGGAGCAGAGGGTGGTTTTAGTGGAAGTACTAAATTGGAGAATATAATTTCTAAGCCATGAGAATAATTTAAAAAACAGTTATATCTCCATGTGTACAAGAACTGTGAAACACATACTGCCACTGGAGATTCTTTACACAAAAACCACTGTTTCATATCCGAGATCCTGGACTAACTACATCTCATTGTCCCTTTATCTTGTTTTCCAACCCAGAGCCTTCATTTTTACCAAGCTGTCATTTCAATCCTTGAAAATACCTGCAAAACTATTGCATTATCCCACCTTAGATATCAGTGCAAAATCCACTTTGAGCCTTTTAATACAATGGCCACACACTGACCGGTGTCCCCTTGTAGCCCCCTCTTGTCCCTCATCTTCTCTTTGCCATGTCACCTTTTCAGAGCCAGCAAACCTCCCTCTTCAGCTGGTAAAGCCTCTTAATGTCAGAAATCCCAAATCCTCAGCGCCTGTAGACACATCTAGTGACACAGGGCTCCCCAAAACTGAGGTTTTCACATCTCTGTGCTCAAGTTTACCACTCTGCTGTAAAAGGGCTAAGAAAATATTTTTCTACCTACCCCACAAGAACATGTGGTTTGTTTTATGACAGTCGTACCAGTAGCATTTGGAAAGCAATGACTCACTGAGTGGTAGTACAGCAAGCAGTTCAAATATTTGTTTATACTGTATTATAGCTAAACCTTTGTATTTTTTTAATGTGGAATCTTCACTTCTGACTAAGCTTTGGGATGGATGTAAAAGTGTTGAACTGAAGTCCTGGCCTTGAGTTGAATCTGAATGAAGCCCATATGGTGAAGAAAAATACTGTGTGAACTGTAAAAAAACACCAAAAAAAGCCATAACTGAACAAGACAGTAGAGTAGAGGATAAAAAACTGTCAGTGAATATAAAAGGAAACAACATTAATCTTTTTCTAATGATTTCAGGTAAAATTTTCATGTAAATTAATAATTGCTTCTTGCATTTCTGGAGTTGCTTTAATGTTGAAGACTACTTTTAGTGATAGTCATATTTTTATTTTTTAAGTATTACTTACACATTTCAAAATCCATTTGGAAACATGAGTATTTTTAACAAATTCCAGGCAGTCCTACTGAGAGAACAGTGATCTGTTCATATAAACACAGATTTCCTTAGAAGTCTCTTCAAGTAGTACTCCTATTCCTATAAACTTGATTTAAAATAAAAAACTAAAAACTTGATGGTTTAAATCCCAGGGATTCTTACTTAGATTTTACTTGGATGTAAGTAAATAGGAAATAACTGCTGATTTGCAGTACTGTAAAGGAAGCATAGGCAGAATCAGAATCATAAATCCTAGGTTGTGCCAAACACTTTTTTGCTGATAAACGCACACATTTCACATACACACACACTCTCAGATAGTAGAAAACTGGAGAATCCCACTGAATTTGGCAGAAATCAGTTGTGCCAGCAAGTTTGTTGTGGGTGTGTTCAGAACTGACCACTTTTTAGCATAAAGGACACCTAGAATTTGGAATGTCCTGCTTCTTGCTTTCTTTTCAACTATTACCACTGAAATACAGTAAAAAACTGATTTATTGCACAAAAGAAAACAAAGAATAGATAAATGTGTCACTGTGTTTTAAATTAAACAGAACCCCCCACGTTCTTTGGATTTCCACCTATATTGTATGTGATGATTATTGTCTGCAAGTCAAATGGATTTAAACCATTTATGGAGGAACAGATCGAAAGAAATCTCCCCCATATTGCATAACAGTTTTTGATTACATGGATGACACTCATGGATTGCAAAGGAAAAACTCTTGTTCTTCCTCCATATAAAGAATATTCTCAAGATTACCTTAACCTGCTGCTATAAAGGGTCTTTATTTTTTCATGCATTTTTCTTGCAACTTTGAAAACTCTGTTGCTTTCCAAATGAAAGCCTAAAACATTTTTAAGAAAATGAATGCATTTAGGAAGGAGCAGCTGTTTGCTGTGCAACCTATAAGCAATAAGGCTGACAGAAATATGTTCTGTATCACCAGCATGTCCAGTATGAAAGGGTTTGTATGATGTAATTGCCTACAATGACAGGGATTACACAGGTTGACCAAAAAGTCTCTTTCTGATCCCTGTGTCATGTGTCAAGTTTCCTGTTCTAGGGGACAGTATCAGTTTGTAAAAGCACCCTCCCTCTAGTGTGAGATTCTTGTGTACATTCTTATTCCTGTTTGCTGTAAAACCCACAATGATTATGACACTTCCCTCACAGGTGTAGCTTATACACATACACTTCAATATCATAAGAAATGACAGTGATGTAGATTACATCCTTAAATTTATAATGGGAGAGGGAAATAGCTTTAACAAACTGAGGGATTTGAGCACTCTTAAGTTCTGACCAGGAAAAATGTTTTGGAAACCGAGAGGACAGTGTTATGAAAATGGGTCCTGCTGGTAGAGTGAGCAGCAGGAACGGATAGAACCAAGGGGGAACCAGGGGCCCAGTGTGGGACTGGAGATGCAGCACTAGGACAGGTTTGAAGAGAGTCAGAAAAGAACAACAGAGACCAGACCAGAATTTCATTTTCAGTGAAACTGAATTTCACAGAAAGGTGGGATTTCCCAGAAAACTGTCATAAGGTCACTGAAGATAAGAGTGTTCATGGAAGCTGTGGTTGCTTCAGGCCTTCAGCCAGGGCTTCATTGGATCTCCGCTGCTAATGAAGGGAAACTCCCTCTGCCAGAAGGAACACAAATGCTCAGGGAAGGTAACTAAGCATTTATTTGTTCTGTTGTGAGTCTTCCCATGTCTGTGTTGAAGGGCACGTACACCCAATGCAGTGGTTTCCATACCAGTGCTTTCCTTACCAGGCTGATAGGCTTTTCCCAGTGAAAATGCAGAAGTTCCTGGAATTCCCTTCTAAGTTTAAGATCTCTTCTGATTCTAATAAAATGGGAAAACAGAAAATAAAACCCCCATATGCTTAAAAAGAAAAAAAAAAAAAAAGGAACTGAATAAAAAGCAGTGTCTTTTGAGATTAATGTGGTGTTCAATGGTTTTCCTGGGAAGATGTCTTTGATGTTTTGCCTAAGAGTAATTCTGATGAGGAGTGGCTTCCCTTTCATTTTTAAGACTATCTAGCCTTTCACTTTCATTTTGCCATTCCAGGTAACATCACAAATTTAGTAGTGAGGGGATTTCATAGCTGGACCTCCTCTGAGGGTCAGATTCTGAAGGGAGTCCCAACAGCCTGTTATTGTCCCAATAACACTGTTATTTTTCTACCATGAATACTGGCTGCTTCAGAAGGTATGTTGCCATATTTTTTGTACATCTGGAACAAATGCTCCAATTACCAGATTTTGTAAAATCAAATACAAATACAAGAAAAGCAATAAGTTACAAAGACAAGAAGGCAAAAGATTTACTACTAATGAGATACAGTATTTCTCAAAGCAAAGGTAACAAAAAGGGGGAAGTTAGGGCAATACTGAATTTTTAAAAGACAAACATGTTGAATCAGATGGGCTTTATCTCTCTTGGAAATCTTACTGCCTTTCCTTCCTTGGCACTTTCTTCAAATACCCTTCCAACACCCTCAGGCACAACATGGGACAAAGACCTCCAATGAAAAAAAAAACCCCACATAAACCAGTAAAAGTCCTGTAATCATAGTAATGAAAGGCAGTTTTTCTAGTGTCTGTCATGCAGTTGCTGTGATGTGAGCTCTGAAGGGTTCCCTAACAGAGACCATCTGAACACCGCTGATTACAGTTTAAATTGCTTACATGGATGTGCATGGCAAGAAGAGGAGATTACATGTATTTATTTTGGAAATTACAAAATAGATATGCGACCTTCCAAACCTTTCTAGAAGTATACTCATCTCCCAGAAGGTGTTTTCTGGAAGCACAAGGGTTTTTATTTATGCTCTTCAGAGCTGTGAAGTGAGATGAGTATGCAGTGCTTTTGACTGTATAGTTAGAGCTGTAGAAATGATTCCATAGGAATTATCCTTTTCTAACTTAGCCTAGTTTTAATTTTTTTGATAAGCAAACAATGTGAAGGAAGGGTGGTAGGGTTCTACTCTGCATATATAAGCAAAACACTCAGGTTTATGAAGCTCCAGATATTTTTACTTTAATTCACTAATATATTTTTTTTATTTCACATGAAGTATAGAATGCAGATATATTTTTAAATGCTTTTTATTTATGACTTTCATCCTAGTTTGTGCAGCTGTGTATAGAGCTAGGTTTAAGGCTACTTGGAAGTTTAAAAGTGTGTTGCAAATGCATTTGCACAGATGCCATGTTCTTATTCTATTTGTTCTCTTGAAAAGTATTTACATGGTAACATATCAGAACCTCAGTTCATCCAGAATTAGCCAGCAGGAGCAGGGAGAGAGAGAATCCAGGGAAGCAATGGTACATGACATTTCTAGCAATCTTTAACTGTGATACCTCTACAAAATTTGTTTGTACTTATTGCATTTTTATTAAAATCAACTCCTTAGTTTACCAAAGTAAATATAGTGAAATTATGGATTTGACAACTGTAACTACCAGGGTCACTTTCAGGAATATGTTACTCAGTTCTGATTAAAGACAGAGCGGAGGGGGAAATGGAAAATCAGGCACTGAAGCCCTAGATATTTTCTGCATATTCTCAGAGACGTGTATTGCTTATTCTAGGGGAGGATTTAAAGTATTATTTCTATTAATCACTAGCTGTCACAGAATTATTTCTCATTAAGAAGACTGATATGATTTGTGCAACCTTAAGTAAATACAGAAAGATTATTATTCTGCATAGTACCTGTTAAAACAAATACACATCATTAAAAAAAACAAAGTAGTGATGTTTGTTGTTACTGTGGACTGTGGATAGAAGGAAAATGAGACAGACAGTAGCAGGTGTGGCTAAAACCCTGATATTTATGCCTCCACTGAAGCACTTCCCAGTGGCACTCTAAAGGGGATAAATATTACTGAAGAACTTAAAACCCTGTGATAGAAAAGGACCATGTTGAGAGGTCAAGTATATTCAATGTTACCCTCAGATGCATTCAGTGAACAATGAGGCAGTAATGAGGACAGGAAAATATCTACTCAGACTTTTTATGCATCATTAGTCAAGCCAGTGGGTATTAAGGCTGAACTAAAAAAAATCAAGGAAAACAAACTAATTTTGAATTAAGCCACTTTTTTTTTACCTTATCTCCCCAACAAAACAATAAACTGAAAAGAGGGTTGACCAGAAACAAAACATTTTGTCATCAATTTTTTAGTCTTTTTTTTAGTTAGTTAAATTTGAACATTGATAGTTTTGTTCTGAAAATGCTGTAATGAAATGGTTAGTCTTTCCCAAACATAATTGCTTTCTGAAGCTTTTTTCAGAAACTATTTATTAAATTTGACCCAATTTCATAAATACTTTTATTCTCCCTTCATGATGTGTTTAACTGGTTATCATATTCTCCATTGCCATTATTTTATTTCCCAGGAACTCATATTTTCTCATTTCATCCTCCTAACTGAAATGCAGGATGCCTCATCGCCAAAATACTTGAGTGTGTTCCATATTAAAAAATACCCTGCACAAAACCTCTTCAAACCACAAAACATAGAGCAACAATGTGCAAATAAGAAATCTGTGTAATTAAAGATGTGTATGATTGAAAAAAGGTGAGGGTGGGGAGGTGATTTTTGTGTGCTATCCTGAAAAAGGTGAGGTATTTTTCCATCCTTTCTGAGGTTCTTCCTTCAGTGAGCAAGTTGGGGAGCAAAGCTGGTGCAATCCCTCAAAACAAAGTCAAGGAACTCCCAAGTAGCACCAA